TTGATTTACGAACATAACTAGTTATTTCATAACGTTTTCCTTTTCACTTTTTCTTTTTCGTGCATTTTGTTCGAAGATATCTCGAAGCGCTTGGAAATGGACTGTGCTGTGTTTCGCTTAACGTGGTGTTGTTTGTTCGGTTCTTTAGATTTGTACGTGGTTTTGGATTTGTTGAACTCTGTTTGGTTACTACGAAAACCAACGTTTTTTTTTTTTTTAAATTTAAAAGTAAATCGATTCTCTAACGTTATTCAGTTTTTTGTATTCGTTTTTCCCTTGTGTTGTTTCGGAAATCTGGTGGAAACTTAAAAGTGTTGAAGGTTTTAGAAAAGGTTGCAGTATCGGACGAAATGGCAACTGCGACCGCAATTTGAATCCTTGAGCTGTTGGTTTTTTATTTTTTGTTTTGTTTATTTATTTATTTTTGTTTTTTTATTGTCTTGTTTAGTTTTCAAAGTTTGGTTTGTGATTTGGTGGGAAGCTGTGTTTGGTTGCTAGAAAACAGGGTAGGTGGGAACAAGCTGTCACGTGTTGAGTAAAATAAAGTTAGTGAGTGATGTTAAGGATAATTTTCTGGTTGTGAATCTTTGATGGTTAAGAAGAGTTTCGTTTTCAAATTTTAATTAAAATATATTTTAAAATTTTAATTAATTTATTATCATTCACTTACTTTATTAAAAAGTGATAAAATATAATTTATTTTCAATTAATCTAATAAAATAAAAACTTTAAAATATACATTTAAAATCTGTAATAATTTCTTAAATACAAATATTTAATTAATTTTAATATATACTAAATTTAATATTAGAAAATTTATTAAGATTTTAGTTATAATTTTTATTATCTTTGAATTTAATATTGGATTTCTTTTGATTATAAAACATAGTAAATAAAATTTAAAATCTGTATCAATATCTTTGATAAAAATATTTAATTAATTTTAATATATAATAAATTTAATATCAAATTATATATTATAATTTGAATTATAATTTTTATAATTTTTTGATTTATTATGATTTAATTTTTATAATCTAACAACTCAACTTTTAATTGTTAATAGGATGTGAGACTAATTAAAAATTTGATAGTAAATTAATATGATTATCCTATACAAATGAAATTTAAAATAATTCCTTGATTTTAATTTAAATTTTATAATACATAAATTAGGTATTTTCAAATAATTAATGTCATTTAATTTTTTTTCTTTTAGATTTCAAATGTTAATTAATGTGATTATTTTATCTTAAATATAACATGCATATAAAGGTCACTTCATTTCTATGTTGCATGGACATTGTATGCAATTGCCGTGTCCCCGAGTTTAACACTCTTAAAGAGTGAACACATTGTGGATGCAGCTCGAACACGTCGTGGATGCACCTCGAACACATCTTGGACTTGGATACACCTCGGATACTTTGACAGATAGTGTCCACACAAATTATACACTTCTCCATCACAGATACCTACAATTGACGTGTCTTCATCTACAAAACTAAAACTAACCTGTCTCCATCGCAAACACCTCCAAATGAACACGTCTTCATCTTGATGTACTATTAGATATGTGGATTCAAGATTTTTTTATAAAAAAAATAATAAATCTCAATAAAAACAAAAATAAAGAAGTGATGATTTGAGAGTTTTTTTACAACAAAAGAATAATAAATCTCAATAAAAGTATAAATAAAAAAGGGAGAATTTGAATTTTTTTTAAAAAAAGAAAAATCTCGATAAAAATAAAAACAATGAATGGAGGATTCGAGATTTAAAAAGAAAAATTATGAACATGATGTCTCTTAATAAGTTTTTTTGAGACCTAGTAGGTTATTGTTATATTAATATATAATATTTTTTTCATGTTATTTATATTAAAATAAACATCAAAAGAGAACCACCTCCGACGTGACTCACCACCGAACAACACTACCGACTCACTAATCTTGTCTTGCTCCCATATCAAGTATGATCATAGCAGTTCCAAACCCCAAGGGAAAACACAGGGTAAGCTAGGGATACAAAATCATTGTCATACAACAACTTGCAACATAAACAACTTCAAATGAAGATCATTTATTACATCATAGCAAGTCTCATCATACAACTCAAGGCACTCAAACAATGTGTATAACTAGGCAACTTTATCATAGATAGAATACAACATAAAGTCATTGGACAATATCACACTCACAACTTTCATAAGATGACAACTATATCTTTACACCTTCAATTTAACCATTTTTAGTATGCACAGATACACATCATTAGACAACATGTACAATTATATCATCAATACATTATAAATAACATAAAACAACACAAACACACATTAGACTATCACCCACCTCAACACCTTCAATAGAACGACATAATCTACAAACACATAAATCAATTGATACATCGTCATGCATATCAACTATAGAGATCTGCTACTATAGAGATCAACTATATAAATTATATATTTTCAAATAATATCATTTAATTTTTTCTTTTGATTTATTAATTAACGTGATTATTTTATCTTAAATATAAGATACATATAAAGGTTAATTCAATATACATTTAAATAATTTATTACCCTATCATATTAACTAAATTTATTATTCTAAAAATTGAAATTTTACATTAGGTGTTTTGTTATTATAAACTCAACCTATTTCATTTTCTTTGATTTTTAAAAAATAATTCAAAAAATTAAAATAAAATATTAATTTTTTCAAGATCTAGACACAAATCACACTGATTGATTTTTTTAAAGTTTTATTCGTTTGATTATAAAATAGTTTTACAAAATAATTTTTTGTCAAATTTTTTTAAGATTATAATCATATTTTCTATAAATTTGACAACTTCCTTGATTCATAAATAGATATATTTTGTACCTATAACAAATTTTAGATATTTTTTTTTCTCTTAGTTGATGTTTGTAAATTTCTAAGATATTTTAAATGAATAAATGTGTATGAAAGACAAACTTTCACTCAAATACTAATATAAAATGCAAGGACATATTTATTTAGCTATAAGAGAGCAAGGTAGTTGTCCCACTATTTTTTTAATCATTTATAAATTTATAAATAAAATATTTTAAATCACAAATTATAAAAAATTTGAAATCTTGTTTACAATAATTTTTAGCATGTGTAGAACTACATAATTTTCTTTGTAAAGAATGTCATTCGGATGAATTTTCAATTGGAGTGGTGGACAAACTTTCATTTTCAACATTATCAGTTAATAAAAATCATAATTTTGAGCTTATTATTAAAATTTAGGAGCAAAAACGAAAAGATGTTAATGTTTGGAGGACTAGTATAGCTATGAATAGGTAGGTAAATGTTATTTAAGATATAATACTACGGAGAATTATTATTATTATTATTTATCCAAACATTGTTGTTTTTCTTATTATTTTTGTCTTTGACTCCTTTTAAATTTAAATGTATAAAGAAAAAAAATCTTGTTTAATTGTGTTTCATGAAAACATACCAAATGAATATAAATAATTTTTAACAAATTACAAAGCCAGGTTTCAATCCCTAGTTGTGGGGGTTATGGGCCAACCACCAAACCACTATGCCAATTTGATTTCTTAGTATTCTTGGAAAAGTAATATATATATATAATACAGAAGCTTATGATTTTTATTATCTTATAATTTAATATTGGATTTCTTTTGATTATAAAACATAGTAAATAAAATCTAAAATCTGTATCAGTTTCTTTGATAAAAATATTTAATTAATTTTAATATATAATAAATTTAATATCAAAATATTTATCTGGATTTGAGTTATAATTATTATAATCTTTTTGATTTAATATTAGATATCTTTTGATTATAAAATATAATAAATAAAATCTAAAATCTGTAGCAATATCTTTATACAAATATTTAATATCAAAATATTTATTATAATTTTAATTATGATTCTTGAAACCCTTCATTGAGTCATATCAGAATATTTATTATAATTTTAATTATGATTTTTATAATCTTTTGATTTAATACTGGATTTCTTTTGATTATAATATTTTAATGTATTTTATTTGAAGTATCAGTTAAAATATTTTATTATCTTTTCATTTTAATTTATTGTAAAATAATTAGAATATTTAATTTAGTATCATAAAAAAATAATCATTTTAAGATTTAATTTATTTAATTTCATTATTTATTATAATACTTTTAGTCATTGTATTGATAATTTTTTTTAATTAAAATATATTTCAAAATTTTAGTTAATTCATTATCATTCACTTATTTTATTAAAAAGTGATCAAATATAATTTATTTTCAATTAATTTAATAAAATAAAAACTTTAAAATATATATTTAAAATCTGTAACAATTTCTTAAATACTAATATTTAATTAATTTTAATATAGACTAAATTTAATATTAGAAAATTTATTATGATTTTAGTTATAATTTTTATTATGTTTTGATTTAATATTGGATTTATTTTGATTATAAAACATAGTAAATAAAATCTAAAATCTGTATCAATATCTTTGATAAAAATATTTAATTAATTTTAATATATAATAAATTTAATATCAAATTATATATTATAATTTGAATTATAATTTTTATAATTTTTTGATTTATTATGATTTAATTTTTATAATCTAACAACTCAACTTTTAATTGTTAATAGGATGTGAGACTAATTAAAAATTTGATAGTAAATTAATATGATTATCCTATACAAATGAAATTTAAAATAATTCCTTGATTTTAATTTAATTCAATAATAACATGATTGATTTAAATTATATTTTAAAATAAATGTTTATTTATTTATTTTTTAAAATAAATTAAGCGCAAATTAAAATTAAAAATAATACTCATAAAGAATTATTTTTTTTTTATTTTTATAAATTAAATTATTTTTTTTGATTTTAAAAATAATGTTTATTTAATTAATTTATCTTAAAGGGTTTGCTCTTGCCCTAGCAGAGCCCCTTCTCTGTTAAATCATTCCAAGGCCACCACACCTCCTCTGTTAAATCGTTTCAACGCTCCCTCGCCGGCCACCTCACCTCGAGCTCTGTTAGGTATTTCATGGCTTCTCTACTCTGTTTCTCGCTTTCATTCTCCCTCACTTTTTATAGTTTTATTTATTTAAACTCATTCTTCTCAAGATCCTTTTCTAACGATTGATTTACGAACATAACTAGTTATTTCATAACGTTTTCCTTTTCACTTTTTCTTTTTCGTGCATTTTGTTCGAAGATATCTCGAAGCGCTTGGAAATGGACTGTGCTGTGTTTCGCTTAACGTGGTGTTGTTTGTTCGGTTCTTTAGATTTGTACGTGGTTTTGGATTTGTTGAACTCTGTTTGGTTACTACGAAAACCAACGTTTTTTTTTTTTTTAAATTTAAAAGTAAATCGATTCTCTAACGTTATTCAGTTTTTTGTATTCGTTTTTCCCTTGTGTTGTTTCGGAAATCTGGTGGAAACTTAAAAGTGTTGAAGGTTTTAGAAAAGGTTGCAGTATCGGACGAAATGGCAACTGCGACCGCAATTTGAATCCTTGAGCTGTTGGTTTTTTATTTTTTGTTTTGTTTATTTATTTATTTTTGTTTTTTTATTGTCTTGTTTAGTTTTCAAAGTTTGGTTTGTGATTTGGTGGGAAGCTGTGTTTGGTTGCTAGAAAACAGGGTAGGTGGGAACAAGCTGTCACGTGTTGAGTAAAATAAAGTTAGTGAGTGATGTTAAGGATAATTTTCTGGTTGTGAATCTTTGATGGTTAAGAAGAGTTTCGTTTTCAAATTGCACTTTCGTGATTGATATTACGGAAAATTTTTTGGTTGTGAATTTTTGATTGTTCAAAATAGTTTCATTCTCAAAGTAGGCGCTTAATTTTTCTGCTTGTATATTTTTTGATTTAATGGGTCTTTATATGTGTGGTGTATGATTCAGGTGTTTAGCAATGCCTCGAGTTGTAGTTTAAAATCCAAGGGATTACAGAAGAGTGTATTTGGTGCTTCAATTCCATGTGAATCAATAGTCTTACAGTTGAGTTGGCCAAATTTTTTTACCTGGCACTCTTCTTTTCTTTCACTTGCCTGTTTCGGTTCATTTGATAGTATGTGGTTTAATTTTTTGTGGTTTTGATGTATTGGTATTTGCACAGAAACTGCAATGCTCGTGGCATTCAGCCTATTAAAGCCACAGCAACTGAAATCCCTCTTTCTTGTTATAGGACTTTTTGTGTTTTATGTATCTACTTGCAGCATTTAACTTTATGCTCTTTCAATTTCACACTGAATACAGAATACTTCATCAACTATGATTTATATGAAGCTTTGCCATACATACCATCTTTTCATTTTATCCAGGTTTTATTTTTGAAGTAATAATCACTTTAATTGAAACGCATAAGAATGGCTCAACTTTTTATATTCAAAGTGACTGTTGTTGCTTATGACATTGACATGTTTAAATTGTTGTAACTGGTGGCCTCCTCATTCATGGGTAATGTTTGATTAAGGAAATCGAATATAATATTTAGAGGATAATCCTACTGTGGGAACATATGGCCTAATTGACTAGAATCTGTATGCTTTAATCCGAGAGAAAGATTTCTGTTGGATTTAGTCTCAAACCTACATTCTAAGAATTTCAAATTTTTTTCATATGTATAAACCACTTTTTAGATATGCTGCTTTGTTCATTCTTAATACACGGAAAAACATAGGTCTCATGTAATATCTACTGTTTTTTCACCATTTTTTTAAAGGGCTTGTAATGGATTGCTATTCTATTAAAGATCATTCAAATAAATTTACTGGTGATGTCTTTGTAGATGTGTCATCAGCTGCTACAATTTTTCAGAAGCTAAGTATAGGAGAATCCAAACAGAAAGTACCAACATTTGAAGATGACCCTGAAGTGATTATTCCAACTCATTTGCAAGTCTTGGGTGCTGAGAAGGTTTCCGATTTACTCAAGGTATTTATAGCCTTTTTATCATTGAGTTTTTATCATCTTAGTGTGATTATAATTGTTTAATGATAGCTTCATTTATAAAATAGTGCTTAAATTATAGTAATTTAATGACCTTGTTTAAATTATAATTGCTATCATCTCATATTTGCTCTCTTTTATATACACACACAAATGGTAAGTAATTCATAAGAAATAGTAGCTTATATATCCTTGTTTAAAAAAAAGGAGTTGTTTTGTTTTTTAATTTACTCTGTGAAACTTCAACATGATATAATTATGAAAAAAATAATTAAAAAATCTCATTCACTAAAAACTTGAATTCTTACCTCTCCTATGAGAAAATTTGTCGCATGGGAATATATGTTCTGTTAGTTATAATCTTCAATAATTTGTCGCAAAGTAGTTATAATCTTGAATTAATTCCTTAAAATCCTGATTTAAAGTCTCGTGGAATCCTACAAAGTCTTAAAAGTCATGAAAATCTTTCAAAGTCTTTTAAAATCCACAAGACTTTTTTCAACTAAAAAAGTCCTTTAAAATCCTAATCCAATATATCTCTATGTGTTTTGTTATTATAAACTCAACCTATTTCATTTTCTTTGATTTTAAAAAATAGTTCAACAAATTAAAATAAAATATTAATTTTTTCAAGATCTAGACACAAATCATAGTGATTGATTTTTTTTTTTTAAGTTTTATTTGCTTGATTATAAAATATTTTTACAACATAATTTTTTGTCAATTTTTTTTAAGATTATAATCATATTTTCTATAAATTTAATATGGGATTTTGTTCTTTTCGTTAAATTGACATTTACTAATAGTTAAATTTTAACGTTTACTTATATTTTTTTTTGAGGGAAAACGATTACTTATATTTAAGTGATATCATTTAGTAACATGACATTTAAAAATAAAAAATTAAAAAAAATATGTAAATAATATTTTTATTAATAAAATAAATATCAATCATTCATAAAAAAATATAAAAAATTTATATATTATTTTTTAATTTTTATCCACATATATCATATCGTTAAATATCATGTTACTTAAGTATTGACAAGTCATTAAATAATATTAAAATTTAACGATCAACAATCATTAAATTAGAAATAGATAAAAGATTTCATGATTTTAAAAACAAGAGACTAAATATTTATATTTTAAAATAAACTCAAAATTACAAAATGACGAAAATAGATAAATCAATAATATAATTTAGCCTAAATATTTAACAATTATTTTATTATAAAACTTAATAAAATAATTTTTCATTAATTTCAATTTCTTCAAAATATATCGTGTCCATTTATTTATGGACTGGACATCGCAGATCAATATCTAATTATAACTTTAT